TTTTTGGTAGACATGTTTGAAACGTATTGTCATGTCTTGTGTTCTAATGCATTTAAAAAGCAGGCTGATGAGTGATGAAGGAGGCAGCAGCCAAGGCCCTAAAACATAAGGTTGGACGAAGTTTCCTACCAACAAGGTACTAGAATTTGTCGTGATATTTCGTCCTTGCAGTTGTTTCTTTACAAATACAGAGCAAACAAGCATGTTTTCTAATAGTATGAAAATTTGAAAGGAAATAATAAGTCACTTTACATTTGATTCACAAAAAGCCATTTCGAAATCAAGTTCAGCGTAGTTTTGACCAAACTCTAGTCGACTTATCCAGTATCTACTTAATTTTCCAGATGCGTGGTTCAGACAAACACGTTGCTATGGGCGGTTGCTAAGGACGCTATCTCGTATTTGCAGATAGTTTTGTTGTTATGAAATAGGGTAAAACAAGCTCTTTGGATATTTTCCTGTATTTCGGGGCTCATCTAATATATCTAGCTTAAAGCTTTAGCATAATATTTTTACTTTATCATATCATGGTTCCAGACACAGGTGGTTAATTTCAGCGCGTAAAGAAATAAGAATAAAGACTTATGTTATACAGAATGCAAGTCGCCATTCCTTGGTGGTAAAGTGAATGATACACAGAGATAGGTATCTGTTTTTATCCCGGTAGAAGCATCCTTGTGATCAGTGATCTAAGTGTGATCGATCATAAATTGTCTGAGAATAAGAAGTTTAGCTATAAGTCAAGAACCACGAAACAACCAGCTTATAGCTGGTGGAAGAGCCGCCACTCAGAAGCTTTCAGAAAACCGTGAACGGTTGAGGAGACAGCCGACAGGTTGAGAAATCAAGAGACCTGAGGCGCCAGAGAACCAGAGAATGCCTGGGAACTTTAACCCGCGCCCCGTAGGGCTACCGGCGGACCCTACCACCCGTAGGGGGGGGGGGGGGCGTTTCGGCCCCCCCCCCTAAGATCTCGGAAAGTTACCGGCCGATTTTCAAAATTCAAACGGCGTTCGATAGCCCCACCCGGGAACTACCTTGACCAAATTTCATTGACCTAGGTCAAACCGATGACGTCACAGGTCAGGTCAAAGGTCAGATTTTCACCGTTCACAGGCATTTCAAGAAATGTGTTGTGAAATCGAGTAAATTGGTAATTTATTGAAAACCATCGATGGTACATTGTTCGTCAAACACATACTTTGCTATCTGAGGTCACTGATGCCAGGTCAGGTCACAGCGAGGTCAGGTCACCGGGGGTCACATTATGAAAGTGTCGTGTGATACATGTTTTATGGTCCATTTTACATGACAAATGCGATAATGTGGGTTAGGTAGCCTTTGGGGCCAGCCTAGGTCACGTTTTGGTGAAGGTCAGGTCAAGGTCAGGTCAAATTAGGTCAAATTTCAAAGTTGATAATTTTGCATAAAATGGGTATCGATTCGATGCAGCTCGTCACGGGGAGTCCAATGGTGGTCTTTGTTTTGCTCTACGATGTCTAGAATTGCCAAAAATTGAGTTTGAAAATTTGACGTCATCATTTTTGAACAGTTTTTTCGCTATAACTTGGCCAAAAAACGAGGTATCGATCTGAAATTTGGTATGTAGATAGAAGACGGTAGGTACTATCACATATATTCCGGTTTTTTCGAAAATCAAAGAACTTTTGGGATTTTTCGGCTTATATATCCAAAAAATGCATTTTTGATTTTTGGGGGTCAAAACTCAAAAATTTCAAAAATCCGAGATGGCAGTTTTGTAGCCCTGTCAAATCTACACCTTTTGTGTCTTGATCATTTTTCTGTATCTTCAAAGCTGTAGGCCTGACAGGTCTTCTCGCGAAGGTCTTTTTTCGGTCGAAAATGACAGAACATGACGTCATTCTGACGTCATTTGTGGCCAACCTATCATAGCCTCTGGAAAAATTGTTGGTCACAATGTGTAAAATCGATGCCCGGAGGGGTCCTGAAAGTTTGGTGGCGATATCTCCAGCCGTTTAGGAGATATCGACCGAAAAGGACAGGGGGGCCGTTTCGGCCCCCCCCCACCCCCTACGGGGCGCGGGTTAAGTAACCGCTGGCTACCAGATCTTGACTAGAAACCAGAAGCCATGAAATGACCATTTCACGATCTAAGATGCAGATTCTGGTGCCTGAAAATCGTGTGAACACACTTGACATTCCAACAGCAGCTCATTTCGGTACCGTTATAAGTCCAGGGCTGCGCAGTCGATGGATTTTCGGTGACTCTGACTCCGACTCCGACTCCGGCTTCCAAAAACCAACTTCGACTCCGACTGCAGGCATACAATACCTATCGACTCCAGCCGACTCTATTTCCGACTTCGACTCCGCAACCCTGCCAGGTCTGCGGAGTCGATTGATTTTCGGTGACTCCGACTGACTCCGGCTCTGGTTTGCAAAATCGACTCCGACTCCGACCCCGGTCAGAACTGTGGTTATAAATAACATGTCTGTGAATAAAAGCAGTTTCGGATGCAGCCACCCCCTTTTGCTTTTCACACTCAAAAGCTCATCCAAAACAGGAAGATGAACAGGAACTCAGCTTAAACATCGGTCTTGGAAAGGTCACCGAACGTAATATTTTTCCGCAAACAGACGAAGACCACGAATTTGAGCAATGACATGTCGATTAAGACTCTGAATCCGGGCAAAGCTGTCGACGCCGATCGACTCCGACTCCGACTCCGCAGACCTAAACTTTATTCAACGGATTTCAATGAGACTTTACGCCGGCAAAATGCAGATAAACATGCTCCTCTCGTCAATACGCGTCAAATAAACTTTGAATTGACCACAAAAAGTCATTTCGACAATTTTACCTCATTTACGGGCCATGTCCTGACCGGAAAATGTCGTAATGCATATCAGTCGATCTGTATCGTTGGGCTGAACACATCTAATGTATTTTTGTTGCTGTTTAATCAAGAATCATATCTCTGTCAAAGGGTACGGTAAAACAAAAAACTGCTGGAGACCATTCTTGACCTGAAATGACCTTAGGGACATAAAGACGGGTCACGGGTGCAATGCTGCGCCTCTTCGGGCACCATATGCGATGAGATCGATGCGTGGCGACTGGCGTACACCTCGCTGTTTCTGCCTTTGAACAATTTTTGTCTGCTTTATCTGCTAAAAACACAATAAACACATTAATTATCGAGCGTAGAACCATGACTCTTTTGTTACGTACAAGCTTTGTTCAGTTTGTCTGTAAGCACCATCAAATATTGCAAGCTTCAAGGGGTCAATGCCCTGGGGCTGTGACGTCACGCTGGGGATCGTGACGTCAGCCGTGGGGTTGCCAGTCTAGTATGAACTAGACTTCGACCCCCCTGGCAGCAGCCCCCGAAAGCTACCGATCATATACATATTACTGGTGTCGAATAATTCGTTTCGGAAGTTAAGTGTATTTAACAATGGACGCGTGGATCATAAAAGATATTAGATCTTTATGGTGTTGACTTCGTCCCATCATTTCCGTGGATTGAATGTGGATATATTTGTACATTCGTTCTGTTTGCATGGGTTGTTTGTGACATTGCCAGACAAGAATAAGCCAATTAGCAGCCCACCAGGACAAATGAAAGGTTGCCAGTGGTATGATGAACGGTAAATTTTGTAACAATATGTCTACGTTGTGTTACTGTCGAAACAAGGGCGGACACGGGGGCAAACATTCTAGATACGAGTTGTTTGTAACTACCGGTAGAATGATACATCAATGATATCATATGAATGCTAAATGTCAATTAGCAAGCCAAACAGAAACGGTATGCACAATTTGACATATAAAGCTAAGCTGGTTTACAAAGGACAACTGAGAATTCTTACGGCAGCACGTTTTTCTACTCGCTTACAAATGCATCGTTGTTCACTAGCTGTGCAAACGTTATACCAGAAGCTAGGTCAGTGAGACAATAGCCGACAACTGAAAAATGCACATATCGATACCACGGTATTTTCCCGTAATTCATGACCACCAATTTCCTTACCTTGTTTGTGTCGATAATACAACTGAATGGCGTCACGTACAGCACGTGCGGACCGGTTGGGTTTGACCTCTGATTCTAACTTTAACTCGACCAACCGACCAGAGAACGTTACCACCGGCACGCTAACCAGAGAGTCGGAGGGTAGCGACACTGGTCACGCTGGAGTGGCGTGGTGTTGGACTTGGGCCCTTGGGGCTGTCTGTTATCTACCCATGTATGGCGAAAGGACGCCCTCCCACTCCGGTCATGGACAGCAGCGTGGCCGCCAGCTACCGTCAACTGGTCCACCCAGAGGTGATATTACAGGCCCGGCCCCACAGCCTGCACCATTTTACAGTAACAGCCACACTCCAATGGGACGGGGAGCCAATTCGTAGCAACGGGAGCGACATTCCCGGAACGGTCCCGACAAAATGAAATTCCTGATGAAATGTATCCGGCCGTTAGGATTTGGAACTGACCGAATATTACCACGCTTGAAGCATTGATGATACCTACCGGCCACCTCCATGCTGTGTCAATTTACATTATTATCAAGTATTCTCAAATGACTAAAGCCAGGGCTGCTAGTGGTAACAAAATACAGCTTGAGAGTCGGGAAGGCATCAAGGACGCTTTTTTATATCAAAAGCATGAAGAGTAATATTAGGCGACTCAGCGACTGAGCATGAAGTAAGAAGACTCTCGCACAGCACGTAGAAATCATACACCTGTACTTTTTCGTTTAAAAATCGTATCAACTCGAAAGTGTGTCAGCCATATTTGCAACAAAATTAGACGGCAGCGCTGATGATGATTACGAGTCATTGATGCTCCCCAAGGGCGCACCAGCCGCCATCACCAGACGTAAACCGTCGCGTTGGACCGGTTCTGGTCCGGTTTTGGCGCACATGAGCCCCGCTCGCCGGAGCGCTGGCTGCCCCCCCCCCCCCCCCCTCCGTCGACAGTGCCCTCACGGCCGTCCCGTCCCGTGTCGATACTCACGTTTTCGTTTCATATGATACCAGAGGTAGTCGGGCGGTAGCGTGCCGTTGTAGGTTGGATGCGACACCGCCTTAACTTCTACATGAGAGATGGCCGAAGGGACTGATGTGTAACGGATCAGCGCGCCTACCACCAGACCTGAGACGGGGTAAGGGACGGTCAGACGGCGCAGGGCACGATACAAGACCCGCCGCCGAGTAGAGGGAGACGTTCAGAGGGCGCCCGCTATCCTACCAGCCCATACCACCTGATAATGAGGGACAGTCAGACGGTGTGTACAGACCAGTGTCGGACAGGCAGCCAGCCATGGGCCACATATTTCGGAGAAGTCAATATCACGATTCCAAACTGTCAGATAAGTCCGAATACACAGGTCGACATCAGCCCCAAAGCAGGTCATTCGACAAACAGATCAACACGACGGACAACGAGCGTAGACAACGCGACAGTCGCCATTGTTGGTAAAATAGCAACATAACTCAAGGCCGGGGGGATCGCTGCTTTTGTTCAGATCCCTGCACAAAGGGGCACCCATCCAGCGCTAAGAACTCATTAAACCATGGCGAGCCTTTCGCAACGCTCGTACGAAGGAATATGGAACTTCCTAGATGCAACAGCAGTGTTGCGTATCTCTATGGATGCACCAGACAATTTAAAACAAGCATCAGCGTAGTAGATCAAATCTTTTAAAAGAGCGCTTTGCTCAATACCTGCCCAGTAAGTCGTCCATTCTAAATGCCACTAACATAGCTTTAAGCCCCGCAAAAGCAGAAAAGCTGCTCTGCCTAGCTTCATTTAAGCTAAAACTCCCTCCTAAAGAGCTGTGCACAATACAACGTCTCCAGGCGTAACGCCAAAGCGCACCGAGAAATGGCACATGGATAAGGTCAGAATTTTCCGAGCCGCTCACATAAGTAAATTACAGATTCCCTCTAGCAGGGAATGAACATTCCGAAACAAGCAAGAACCCATTGCACGTAAGAATAGATCATAGTTTATGCCCTATAGCACTCCCTTTAAAGACTCAACATAAAAACTCCGCGCGACCTTCAGCTACACACAGTTGTGAAACCAGTACTGTAAACAGTTAGGCACTGTGAATTTGAGCCAGAAGTCCGTCTCGGAATGTTTTTGTGAATAAAATGTACATGAAACTACGCATTCGTCGAATCATGAGTCCATGGGCATATTTTTAGCTCCATAACTCAGTCGAAATGTTTACAATATGCAGCTTTTACGTCAGACTTCAAGCTAAACCAGCAACCAGAATTGCTTGATTGTGACAGATGCCGGCTTCATGGAAGGATTTCGAGTCGGATGTGTCACAAAATCAAACAGCTTATTCAATCAACTGGTTACTTGCAAACAATTTACGAAAATACGCCGATGATCAAACATCCTGTTCGGGCAGCAACTAGACTTGAAAAATACCTTTGTGCCGACCAACCTAAATGATTTGTCCGTAACTGAGCCCGATGAGTTCACCAAAGAGCTGTCAAAGTTCAGTTACCCCAGAAAGAAGAGTTGCCTGCGACTAGGTCAACATCGGCGCCCCGTATACTTACGAGTCACAGTAGCTATACGCTGTCTAGAGAGGAACGTACTATAAATTCCTACAAACACTGTCGTGTTTTACGCCGATACGTGACGTCCAATATGAAGCACTCTTAACCACCCAGCCGTGATCACGCTCATTGAACGGGTTAGGCCGCTAGGGTACTTACCGAACACCAGCGCCAGGCCGGTCTCGTGCATGTAGCGCATCCGGCGGTGTTTGAACATCCACACTGTGAGCACCGTGGTGATGAGCAGCATCATGTAGAGGAGCAGGTTCAGAGAGTCGATACGGTGCTGCTCCTTTATCTTCTCATCCAGCTCGATGTCGTTCCTCTCACTTGCCAGAGACATCTTGGGGTATTTGTGCTTTGGTGTCGATCACAGAAAGAGTGTAGAAATAATAAAATTATTCAAAAAGTGTATAAATAGACTATTGTAGAGACCGCAGAGATATAAATGGAAATAGGCACCTGCAAAAGAAAACAATCTGTCACGCGAAAGAAAATGTACAACTAACTGCATTGGGCAGAAACATCAATTTCTGAAACATATTATCAGGGTAAGTGTTGCAAGTTTTTATCATAGGTAGGTACACCTGGCCTTTTGCTGTGCAGGAGAAAAAAAATCATAGTAGCACTTTTATTTGTGAAATAAAAAAAAATACCATAGCACATTAAAGAAAAACTTTGACAATTACTGGTATCTGGGCACACCTCTTCTTCACTCTTGCCCAACCACCAGCAATATAGATATTTGGGCATAGAGAAACTTCAATGCAGTGTAGGTACTGTGTACACAACCCATAGCTAAGATAAGATTACACTCTTCAAAGTAGTCTGGACAGGCAGATGCAACTGGGGAATCAAAGGGGCATGTGAGGCATTTGCCCCTTGAACAGCATCCAAAAGGAACAAAATTTTGTAATTTCCTAGCTCAAAGAGCTAGGAAAATTACCAAGTGAACAAGCCAAAATTACAAAAAGAAGGAAAATAAAAGTGAACAGGACAACTTTTTCAATTTTGTTGAAGAATGATAGCAAAAATCTGAACAATAAGGTGAAGGAAAATATGTTAATAGTTCCAAAGTCTAGGCTTTTGGCAACTGAAAAAAGATGAAATTTTGGGAAAGTGTGCCTCCTCCACAAAATCCTGACCCACCTACTCTCTGGATCAGCCAGGGGGAGCAGCTGCAGCAGGGCTTGAGTGCAAAATGCAGCAACAGTCAACAAGCTGCACCAGAGAGGATTGGGATAAAGTATCCTACTGGCCCTGAGCCCACACCAATCAAACTGGAAATCAGTATCAGTCTGCAACTACCAATGTAGGGGAGAGTAGTACAGGGCAGTAGTAGCCAGTAGGGGAGTAGGTACAGGTCTCTGCAGAAGTAGGTAATGTGAGGTATAGGCAGTGATTAAGGTTTGTATCTTGTAGGTTTGTAATTTGCATCATCTGTATCTTGGGTACTATTTGCCAGACTACCATCTAACTTGAAATATAGCTTACATGTGCCATCATACCTGAGTTTACCGCACTTGGTGAAATTGGGGGCCCAATCTCACCAAGTGTGGTAAACTCAATTTGGGGTAAAAGGTAAATGTCAAGTTTAAGTCCTAAGAAGAGTTCATTGATAAATTTTTCATATTTATACATTATTTGACATCCTGAATCCAAAAATGATACTCATATGTCTCGCAAATAAAAGAAAAAAACATAATCAAACCTGACCTAACCTTACCTACTTACCTATAACCTACCAACCTACAACCTACAAACCTACCCTAACCTAACCTAACCTACAAACCTACCTACCTACAACCTAAAACCTACAAACCTACAACCTAACCTAACCTAAAACCTAAAATTTTTGCTGTTTCATATTCGTATCAAAAGCGCCACAATTGTAGTTAGGACCTAAACTTGACATATACCGGGGTAAAATACCAAACTACCCCACTCCGTAACTACAAAAATACTGTCCCAAAATTAAGTTTACATAACTTGGTGAGATTGGGCCAAGTGCCCAACCTCACCAAGTTAGTTTAACTACCGGGGTAGTATTTTTGTAGTTATGGAGTGGGGTAGTTTGGTATTTTACCCCAAATTGAGTTTACCGCACTTGGTGAGATTGGGCCGCTCTGCCAGCCGGCGGCCTCACCCTAACTTTGTACGGCGGCCCGTCTGGCCAGACCGGGACGGTGCCATTCCATGGCATATGCCGTCCCGGCCCCGGGGAGAGCTGTGGGATACCTCCCCAAGTAACTCATTAAGTAAATAAGTACACCAAGTACTCACCAAGTAAATAAGGTCCTTGACTTGAACTGCTTCACGAGTCTTGCTGTCCCGAAATAAGGTTCTTCCTGAGCAAACGCATTCACCGGGGGCAGGGCTTATCAAGAAAGCTCTTAGTCTTATCACCCACAAAAATGCACAAAGCACCAACTAATGCCAATGCCAGACTTTCAACACCACGATAACAACGCCAACACTGCGAGGCAAGACCATATAAATCATAAATTACTGCGAGAAGCCAGCGCGCCACATCCACTCCCCCACACGTCGACGTCGACGATGACAATAACAGAATCGCAGTGCGTTTTCGAAGCATCCAGACACCTACAACTTACGTGTACTAGTGCTTCCATGCAGCCGGCGTGCCGATCATTCAGAAGCACTTTTCACCAATGAACGGTGAAGGAACGCCGTAGATCAGCGTATTGCATAAAACGTCAAGCACTTTCGAACACAAAAGTGTAACAAGGCATAAGCGACGCAGTATGCCCTTGGCTTTGGGATTTTGTGAAAATAACTTCAGTGACAAATGGTTTTTATTATGTTTCATTCCTATTTTTATTTCCAAATAAATATATTCATTATATGAAAATATATTTGCGCTCTTAAAAATTACTTTGACCTCCGGTAATTCCTTGACTTATAATTGAAATACTTCTGGAACTATATGACGTCAACTTTGTTCAAAACTGGCGCCGCTGTTACATTACATAAATGGTTTTCAGCTTTTTGCATGAAGGCCGTCTAATTTGGGACGTAACTCTATCTTGAGATGTTTTCGTTATTTTCTGTTAAAAATATTTGTGATAATGTGCATCAAATGCAAATGCACGGTTCCTAATTAGTTCTGTTAGCTTGCGCGTACAAGCTGAAGCGGATTGCAATTGGGATTGTCAGGCTGCTGAGGAGTGTTTCTTCATTCTACCCTAATATCTCGGTTTCGTATTTTTTCGAGCATTCTGATTCATAAAACAAATATCATCTATCAAGATGCTGAGGAATATTGGCAGGTACGATAAATAGGCTGAATTATTTTAATGCTTTTACCATTGGCTTTTTGGTTTTAACCTGAGCCAAATTATTGTTTGTTTGTTTTTTTTTTTACAGAGGTACACATTGCTATTTAATAATTGATGCGTGAATAGGAAATAGTTGTAATTTATTTTTTAACTGGTATCTCCTTGGAGTAGGCGACATTCACTTAAATTTTTAGTCACTACGTTCCTTTGTTTTTCAAGCCTTGACCTATCTCGTATTGTCTTGCATTTCTTCGATAGGATGATTCTGTTTCACACATTTCTTTGTAGGTACCGATACTATTCACATCTCATTGCTGCTTCTTGTAAAAACATCTAAATCTCCTTTACCTTACCTTACCTTACCAATACAGAATTTTGAGGCCTATAAGGCCTGTGGGGCTTTAGCCTATAAGGCTAAAGCCTATAAGGCTTTAGTTTTTCATTCATATATCATTTTCAACCCTGTGTCTACTGTCTACTCATGTAATACCAGTTTCAAAATCAGGGTTCTACTGTGACCAGTAGTTTCAAAGTGACCCAGCCATTGCCTGTCAAACTGGAAGTTGGGACAGAGTATCCTGCCATGACAGTGAGGGCAAGAATGAGGGTAAAATTGCATCCAAACTTCCGGTCATTAGAGTCAGGAACCCTTATATCGAGACCAGTTGTGCACATTTGTCCTCTTGTGCAGGAGTTGTGCTTGCTCACAAAAAATCTTCATCTTTGAATCTTTGTACTGATGCATCTTTGTTCTGTGTAGGCTCGCCCCAAAGTCAAAACTGTTAAAACTATGGTAAGGTTCAGTGTTCACCAATTATGTATGAAAATCTATGTAATATCTATGTAATACAAACAAATATATGTACATATATTTGTTTGATATATATTTGTTTGGCTGCACATCTGTTTACCCATAATGCCTTTCAGCTGAGGATCAACACAACATAACAGGCCAGCAGGACACTGTATCATATCATTTTTGGGCTGTCATATTTGTGACAGTTGTGGGCCAAGGGATGGGTATGGTGCAAGATGGCACATGTGGTGCTGTATGATTGGTATTCATATATGGGTGAGGTGTAGAGTCTGACCACCTGCCAAACACCAACTGTCACAAAGTGGGGAGTGCCTGTGGGGTCAATGAGGGTATGAGGCACTGCACCATCGCAGTGGGAGTGAGCCGCTGGGTCCTGGAATCTTTTTTAGATGGTAAGAACAGGTTAGCCAGCATTGGTAGTGAAGGTTTGGAGATGGTAGTTTTTTTTCTGGAATTGACGAATATTCGGGGATGAAAATTTACACAGACAAAAATGCCGATGATATTCGTATGCGGAAGAATTGCGTAAGACGAATTGCAGACGAAGATGTTATGCACATACGAATGCGTAGACGAGGTCTAGATGGGATGATGAGTGGGTAGGGTAATGAATCAAAGGTCTGAGGACGAAATTTTGTTGAAAGGAAGGATTATGACATGCAAAGCAATGCGCATGAAACTGGTTAGAAACATCCAAAATGCGAATTTTCAATTCTTGAAAATATAAATGTGTATATTTTAGAATTACTGCCACATAAAACATATGGTATGCTCCTTTACGCTACGATTATAGGCTAGTCATACCTACAGCTTATCATCTGTATGAAAACATATTAAATTTACATTTTATTCCAGGACTTTTCTGCCTGCAGCCTGTCGACTTGCAGTGAATTCTACAGCCCCATCAAATGCACCTCACAGACAGATCTACAGAAGCTTTCACACTGGAGGTAATAATCTCAGTTAACTGCAGCTGTCTCTGCCATACAGATAAAACGCCTTGTTAGCATAATTCCATGATGACTTCAATGTATGATGCTAATAACTAAGTGATTGAATATAATTTGTTGTAGCAATAGTTTTTTATATAGGTAAAAACTTATGTGGAGAACAATTTAGTCGCTTTAAATTTGTTTGCAGTGTAGATCAGTCATTTCATTCACAGGCTTGTATCTCATTTCTCGTTTCTTTTTCATCTCGCCCACCTAAGTTTGGCGGTTATGATGGCCGACTCTGACAGCCCCCTGCCTTGACCTGCCCTCAGGTCGGCTGCTGGCCCGGTTTGGTAAGCGACCAGTCGAGCCATCCCCATCGCAGAATACCTTCACCTGGGGCAAATTCGCACATGCCACTGCCTTCACTGTGGTGGTAGGTAGTCACAGTCTCTGGGAGCATCTTTATGCCTGCCCATTAGGTCCATGATGTTATTTTTAATAAGGTACCTACCGCTTTTAAACAAATGTATCCATGAAATGTGGTCTAAGAAATGTTCTGGTGATCAGCATTGTTTTTTAGATGTGTGCGAATATGTTAAGTGTTCCAATATCCGTCGTAATTCGTGACCGCTTCCTTTTCTTGCTATGTGACTTATTCCCTCCATTTCATTCACTATCTGCACCTTCCATCCCATCTCACAACTGCCAGTGACTGATCTCTTGTGCAAGTTGGCCACTCCTCTCCGCCCTTCCCTGTCCCATCCACTGGTGACTGCTCTCTGTCCCCACCCTGTTCCTTGTGACTGTCTGCACTCTGCCCCTGGGTCACCACACCACGTCGTTTCCTCAGGGCGCCGGCTCGTTTTTCGCCGGCTGCGTGATCTGGGAGTATGAGGAGGTACGAGCAGTGATGAGGAGACACATGGAGCGAGGCCCGCTCTGGGCGCGCAGACCCTTCGAGCCCGGAGAAAAATGGGTCAGTATTTATGATGCAGGGTGCACGGAACTTCGGTACAGTGGGCGGGCCGGATTTTCTTTATATTGCCAGGATCAGTGTCTTCTGAGGCGGTGATACGTAATTTGTATGAAATTAAGCTTGTGATTTATTCATCGAACGTATACGCTTAGCGATTTATTTACATTGGCATACTCAGTTTAATCGTTACGGCATTAAGTCCAGCTCGCCCGTGTTAGTTGCAGCCTAATTTAAACGGAAGCTGACTGTTAGAACTTGATTGTAAGACTGTTTGCTATCCGTTTTATGTTCAAACATGCCAACAGTTGCGATTCCGCTGAGGCTGCCCTGTGCCACTACCGCATCTCTCCCTGTCAGTGTGTGCGCCCAGTGACGATCACTCGTGACGATCCTCCGACTCCGACAGGGCGAGTGGCGCGCTCAGCTGTCGCTCTGGTGGGCGTCCCAGACGGAAGGACAGAAGGTGTTCTGGCCCATCTGCCTCGTGAATGTGCTCGTATTCGGCGCCTGGAAGATCCCCAGCCTGGCGCCCACCATGCTACGGTACTTCGCATCGAGCCCGGCGTCTCGTGAGTTCTGAGTTCATCGGAGAAGCAGATCGGAAGTTAGTGACAGTCAGTCTTGGTTCCTCTTTTCTTTTATCGCTCTGAGCGTGATCAAGTTTTACGCATTTGAAGTCGTTCTATGTTCTATGTTCGAGTGAGAATCGGTGGTTACATTTCTTATACAGTGCCGAATATGGAGGTGGCTGTCTTATGTCACTCCTGCTACCATAACTTCCATAGTGGAAGTAGGAATAGTGTAATGCGTTGGACACTACGCTTTGTCGGGCAACTGTAATCCTGTGCCTCACTGATTGATCATTTTTCTGTCCGCACAGGAGGGTTCCGCCTTCCGATGCTGCTCTCGGGGTTCAGCCACTACTCGTTCATCCACCTGGCCGTCAACATGTTCGTGCTGCACAGCTTCTCCACCAGTGAGTGAACTCGCCGCTCGCGTTCTAGATGTCGGGACTTGGGTTTTTGAGACACGTCTGCTGAAAGCGTCATTTCGTAATGCTTGCAGAGTTGCTATACGGCCAGCATGAAATCGTTCTTGCATGCTCGCTCATCAATATCGCAAGCTTCTCTTTCTGATTTATTCAATAATATTCAATATTCAAGATCTGATAAGATTATGCCAATCACGATCGTTGATAAATCACGATGGTAACCTAAAGCGAGTGACCGCCGGCTTGTGTTCGGTCAGGCGGCCGAAATTTCCCTCTGCGATGCGAGAGTTTCGCCGCCGCCCGACTGACTGCCCCACCCCGGACCGTTCCAGGCGCCGTGATTCTGCTGGGGAAAGAACAGTTCCTGGGCCTGTACCTGAGCGGAGCGCTCACCTCGTCCCTCGCCAGCTACCTCTACAAGATGTTCGTCTTCAGCCCGGCTGTCTCCCTCGGCGCGGTGAGTCGGGCAGCGGAGGGGATATGCTACCGTTGTCAGGGGACTCAAACACTTATCATACTAGCTTGATGCCAGATATGAAAGTAATTGGT